CCCGCTCGTAGAACGCAGGATTTCAATATATCTTTAGCTATTATTTGTCAATAAAAGTAAGTGCTTTGTCGCTAAAACTAAGTGCAAGAGTTTATATAGAACTTTAGATATTCCTCGATGAATCCTCCTAAAATCCAACTATAATTATGTGAATTGTCAACTACTTAGCATAGCACCTGAGCTAAAACGAAAGAAAACCCGAATATTTGAAAGCAAGATCGTTGTTTTAAATTTCCACAATGGGCATGACCGTCACAGTTCGCCTGAGGATATGACGTACGTTTGAACAAGAAGCAACATAAGGCCAAGTATCAATCCATCAATACATTAGTGTATCAAGCACCCATATGTCACTTAAGGATAGTAGCTAATCTATATAGAACGCCAACCTAAATCTTACCTGATTGAATTCACGTGCATTAAACAATTTCAGCCAAGATGGTGATATGAGATCTGTTAACCCTCTGTAGAAAGCATTGGAAAAGGGCAGTATCTGCAATTAAACGAAGAAGCAGGTGAATATAGCAAATAAGAAAGTACATTTTTGTTACTTCTACAGGAATGAATCACAGACCTGTCGATTTAATTTATAGTGTGCCATTGCATGAAGGTATTGCATCTTGTTCTCGTTTGTCACAGAAATATCCTTGCCACCAGGTTTAAGCTCAATAACATGCCGCTTACCAAAAGATTCCTCAGTCACTGTGAAATCCAGAGAGAGTTCCTTGATATCCCCATCATAGTGCTGCAGAAACAAGTAATATAGCACAATTTTAAGGTTTTATTAACACGTGTAACCGTTTGTTTCAATCCATGTAATGCTAACATAAAGCTTATAATCATTAAAAAAAAGAAAAAGATGAATCAATCAAGCACTCAAGGAGTGTTTTTTTTTTTGCTGAAAGTCAAGGAGTGTTTAGGAGATCATGATGTATGAATATCATTTATATTTCAACTGTTTCCACTTATTTTTATAAGGTAATGAAACTATATTCTTCCAAAGTGTATCATAATTTCTTTTCCAAACTTGCACAGTAAAAATGACAATACTTACCTTAACATACATGAGATTCCTGTAAAGCTCTGGATCAAGGGTCGATAGTTCATCAAGGAAACTATAACGGCCAAGCAGCTTTTGCACAAACACGTGAGAAAAAGAGTAATCTAGCAAAATTCCTTCATATAGAGCTTTACCAACAACTCTCCCAAGGAATTCAATCATCTGGATACCATTCTCAAGATATTTTGCAGATGCATTAGGGATCAAAAGTCTGTCTGAGGCTGACGTTTGGATAAATAACCCATATCTAATCAAAGAGAAAGGTAACAATAAATTCTGATTTCTTAGGCAACAGACACCTATGTGACAGAGCCAAAGAAAGTTGTATAAAGTCGCCATAAGATGGGAGAGAGAAAGAGAACTCACTCAGGGGAAAATGCTGCTTTTGATATATCAGTTAAAAACTCTTTCGATAGTCCACCATAATCTAGGCCAGCCTCTGGAAGGCCAGATTCGCTAACAAATGAAACATGGATGGATGATTTCAGTTTTGGCCCTAGGGAGTTTAATTGTCGAAAACCATCTTCAACTATATGACCCCGACGAACTACTATTCCAACTGATCGGGAAGCAGGTCCATCAACTTCACCAGCCATTTTACGGGATGCTTTATCCATCTCAATAAACTCAATAAACATCTCAACTCTGCAAGATAATTAAACATCAGAAACCCTTTCGTGTGACAAAACATAAAGGTTCCTCCCCACTTCCTCCAAATTCATGGCAGGTTGGTACAAAATTTTTGTTCTTTGTAAATAAAACTTCGTGGACCCCTTGGAAAAGTCCTTGGAATAAATAATGCCAGCAAACACCCAAATTCGAACCCTCTAATTGACCATACTCCAGTGTGCCTGCTCTAGCTAACACCATAACCCATATAATACCCACAAATTTATGTGATGGCATCTGTAGTAATTACATTCACCGATAACTCAGGTAAACAAGCTTATACACAGTGAAACGAGTGAAGAGCTGTGCACGGCAAAATATCTATAATATGACAGCAAATTTCTCCAGAGAACAATTTATATTCGAGTACATGTCATACATACATGTGTAGATATATATATATATATATATATATATATGTATATATATGTATGTGTGTGTGTGTGTGTATGTGAAAAGCTAAATGAGTTTCATTACCTTTCTTCAAATGGAAACACGTGGGGAACAGTAGTTATGACAGAACCCATGCTGGGAAGAGCTGAAGCATCATCTATTCTTGCATTAGCTAACAAAACTTCGTGAGTTCTGGCAGCTACAGCAATTGGTGGACGGCTCTTTCTACCAGGGGAAAGCCACAAAACTGGGGGGCAAAATTGGTGCCTGCAGTCTCTTTCATACATTAAATGCAAGCATCTGATAGCAGAATCCATAAGGGGTCTACTCCGTTCCCCAACACTATTGGACAAGCCATTATAAACGAATGTATTAAGCACAGATGCAATTCTGCGTTGTTGCTCTATCCTGAATGGAACCTAGCTTGTGCATGAAATGCTCATATGAGTACAATTCAAAACTCCAAATCATACATATCAATTGAAGAAAAAATATAAATATCTTTACCTGCTTTTCATAGAACTCTATGTCATCTAGTATCAGCAACAAATGTGAATAGGCAGCACAGAAAAGATGAAGCAGACATGACAAATCTTTTGAAATACCCTCTGCACCATGTCTCAGAAGCTCTATATCCCAATCATCACGAGAACCCTTGTTAGTTTGGCTAGGGCTTGATTGCTCAGCAACCAAATTGGTACTCTCAGATCCTGACTGTGATTTGCCAGTAAATTTATTTAGTACACTCACCCACTTAGATTCATCCTTATTACCATGTTTCCCCTTTTTCTCAAAAAGCCCATCTTTTTTATTCCTTGAAGTTTTACTTGGTGAAAGGTGAAGATTTTCAGCTGTTGCACCATCTCCAGAAAAAAGAGAACTTTCCAGTGCTCCCCATAGGTTGACAAGAAATCCAGGAGTAAAGGATAGCATGTTAAGAACAGCCAACGGTCCAACTGTTGGATGCAAGAACGAAACTATTCTAAGAAGGTAAGAATAAAAATATGCAATATCAATAAACTCCAACTTCCCATGGTTCTTCAATTCGTATTGTGACAAAGTCTCAGTCCCATGAATATGATCATCTTTCTCCATAATTGCCAAAAGATCTGTGAGATATCGCTGCTGACAAACAGGCTTAAAGAGATCCATGTATGACGTAACAAAGGAACCATGGGTTGCCTCACTCTCGCCAAAAGTTAGATCGTTAACTAATTTTGTATCATCACTTTGGCTTTCCTTGTTCTCCTTTAGATGTCCAACACTCTCAAGTCTAGCCAGTAGATCTTCTGCAAGAATGATAATAACATGGACGTACAGCACATAGTCCAAACCTTGGTCTAGCCATCCAGAATCCAAAGTTCCATTCTCACCTCCAGTTGCAAGGCATATAACGTTCGCAAGAGCCCAGCCTACTGGTGGTATCACCTTGGGAGAAAAAGGAACTTTTAACTGATCTATCTCCCACATCTCATTTAATATTCTCTCCTTCAAAATCTGCCATCACCTGCGATAAATTAATCAGTCCCCACGTGATTGAACAATAGATCTAAGCATACCAACGAAAAGTAGGACCTTATTGTATTTAGGTGTCATAAGACCACCAGATATAAACTTACAATCGTGTAAAACCAATACAGAGATAAAACATTTTGGTATTAATAGCATGATAAAGCTGAATATGCTCTCAATTTATTTTAGAGTGTGTCAATACGGAGTCTATTTTTTTATAAGAGTCAATAGGGAATCTAGATACCCACAGAAACAAGTAAGAACTCAAAGCTGGGAATCAGACCACCCGAGCAATGCCACAGGTAACTAGAAAGTAGCAATAATATCTTTTCAAAATTATTCAAATGTGTGGATGATATTTGCACAAGTTTACAGAATAAACATAATATTAACTATCAGGTTTTTCATATGTAAACGATAAAACATCTCGGCAGCAAAGGACCTGGTTAAGGTTGAAATTTCACATCATTTTGAGAAAAGAAAATGCCTCAGATTTCTGATCATGTCTGGGACAACTTCGTTCAGAAGCTTCAAAATAATTATGGTTGCATAAAAAAAAATAAAAATAAAAAACCCTACATGTTAAAATGTACATAGATGCAGTTCAAATTTAACAAGTCTTACCAGTAGAGTCTGTAAGCAGGGTGTTAGAGTAGACTTGTGCTTCATAGCGCGTACAAGAACGGTGGGCAATCGTTGCACCAGCCAGGGAATCGTAAGTAAGGATGCACAGTACTTCTCAGCAGCATAATGCACATCCAATAGACCAGGGCCATCTACGTTAAGACTTGTCACTTGCAATGGTCGAAGAGCTAAGGTTATTGCACTGGCAGTAATCAAAAACTTGTCATCTTTTTGGACCACATTTTCTACTTGAGAAGACAGAGGAACATCCAAAATGTTGATGTATCTTCTAACAGATATATAAAGACCACTTTCACCAAGACCCATAAACTGAACTAAATCTTTGGCCACTATATCCACATCCTGACCATCACTGTCAGCAATGTTCTTCCACCCTTTCGAATCAGTTAAAAGAACGGCAAGACGCATTGCTAAGGTGGTAACTGCAACAAATTCTTGATCCCCTGCACATAATTGATTGAACTCGGCAAGAATGAAAAGGCAGAGAGAAATCAGCTTCCGTGACTGATAATTCCAGATTTTTCTCTCTTCAGGTGTACCCATTGCCATAAAGCAAAAGTTCTTTCTTTGATCTAGACAAAAGAATATAAAGAGGACAGGGTTATGGATTCCACGCAATAATGGGATGGTAAATATACAAAGAATCCACAATCAAGCACAGCATAGGTTGCTTGAGAGCACAATTAGAGAAATTTTCAAGTGCACAAAACTGAAAAAGAAAAGAAAACCTTGATTCAATAATCTCCAAAGTTTTGAATTTGAATAACTGAACCTCAGGTGGGTTAACAGAAAGGAGACTGAACCTCAGGTAGTGATCTCCCTAACCAGCATCTAATTATACACAAATGTCAATTCCAGCTCCAATTTTAGATACTATATGTTATCACAGTTATGAAAAAAGCAAATTCACGTCACCTTCTTGCTGAGACAAACCTATGCAGCAGACTCTATATAACCCCATTAACTCTTAGCATTTTTATCCAATTAACTCAACCAGATCAAAAAGAAAATAAGACAAGAGAAACAAAAATTGGAAGGGTAAGCCAAAGAATAGTTGGAAAAATGCAGAATGGGGTACCAGTGGAGTTCACGCTTTCCAAGAGGATCTTAAAGCATCTCCCCATACAATTTAGATCTCTGGTTTGAAGCCTCTTATGCCGAGTTGCTAAGCATGTCGTAAAGAAAAGAAAAGGCCTCAAGACAGTGCTGGAAATCTGGGTTCCTGTCAAGGAACCAACACGATAATTGGCAAAGTTCTTCTCCCATTCTTCTTGCAGCTGCAAAGCCACTGTTACTGTAACTTTGTAGCGTCTCCAAACTCTCTGGAATTGCCAAAAGAACAGATTACATTTACACTTCATCTTTACAAAAACTTCTCCCCAATTAGAAACACAAGGAGGGAAAAATTCACAATAGAGTATGAAAAGTCAGATACAGCTCTATAATTTACATAAGAAAAGTCTCATATAAACTTCAATTACGCTCTACTTTCCAGCATCATAATATTGTCTTTTTTCTTTCTCTAGCTTTTTCCTAGTCGACCAAACAGTACCAACCAAAACCCGAGGAAAAAAATCATTTCCTTGTCTCGCATTGTGGTACGTCCAATACATTTTCAGAGAATTTGATTCAAGCCAAAAGCAGAAAGATGATCAAATAGTATAAATTTTCACACTCAAATTGTAGAGTAAAGTAAGGACAAAAGAAATCTCGAGACCTGCATGAAAATGGCAGCCGCGGAAGCTCGTTTGGCATAATGGCGAAGCTCTCTCTCCTGCGACACCTTCTGAAGAAGAGCGCCCCTCGTAATCTCCTTCGCGCTCGCTCCTCTTAGCGACCCCTGATCAACCCAGCCACACCAGAGAAAAATCACTCCACAAACAGCTACGAATTTCTCAAAATCGGCAAGGAAAACGAAGAAAAGTTATCTCTAGGTTTCCATTTCCAGTGAATCCGAAGAAGAAAACGGAAATTCGAATGATCTTCAGCGAAATAAAGTGGAACAAAGTTCGAAAATTTGAGAAGGAGGAAAAAAAAAAGCTTGAAAAATCGAATTCTCGAAGAAAAACCAAGAATTGAGAAAGTATGGAGATTGATTTTCACCTGGTGCTTCCGAGGTTCATCCATGGCGGAATCGAACGAACTCAGTGGATCGTTCTACGGAATGGAATCTCTCGATTTCATTTGCCTTCTACGTCAACGACCTTATTGTCTTTTGCTCGTACCTTGAAATAATTTCTTTCTTTTCTTATTTGGGTAATTTGCAAAGCTGGTTTCTTAACTCTTTAATATGTGATCATCTTCTTTTAATTTTAACAAAACAACCCCTCAACTCTCAATACGTTGGCATTAACGGAATGAATCGTGTACAAAGCATGCGAAATTTAAACTCAAATTATAACTTTATTTAATAATTGTTCTTTTTAACGAAACTTAAAAAAAATTTAAGAGATATTTGGTTTGTGGATTAAAATAATGAGATTAGAATCATTTTCAATTTACGTGTATTTTTTATGAGAAAAAACACTGTAGCGAACCACGAACCATGATTCGAATCGAGATACGAATCCCCCAACTAAACAACTCTTTAAACTCGAGTTATAATTTTATTCAAGTTCATATTCTTTTATAAAACTGAGTTTTAACTCGAATTTAGGGCTAAACTCGAGTTCAAATTTATCATTTAACTCGAGTTATAAACTCAAACTCAAGTTAATAAACAGTATTTTTTTCTATTTTTAAAAATGTCATAATTTTTTCGTTTGAATTCTGATTGAGATGATTTTTTTTCTATGCATTCACAATGAAAGAGACGAATAAAACCCCACCCATATACCCTATTAAAATTTTTCATCACCATTGAGTTTTTATTAAAATATTATCTAAATATAAATTTAAGTTTTGACCCACTCAAATACAAACTAAAAAAGATTCTAAATTCAAATCATAACTCAAATATGCACATCCAAACACAACCTCAAGTTACAATTTCAACTCAAGTTATAACTCAAACTCAACTCAAGATCATCACTAAAGTCACCTTAACTCAAAAATGTAAGGGGTTGTTCAGCAGCTAATAAAACTCAAAAAAGGCAACTCAAGTTACAATTTTATTTAAGTTCATATTCTTTTAAGTTTGAACTCGAGTTTGAGACTAAAATTCAAGTTCAAGTTTCCCCTTTATCTCGAGTTCAAAAACTCGAACTCAAATTAATGAACAATATTTTTTCTATTCTTAAAAATACTATAACTTTTTCGTTTTAATTCTGATTGAAATGATTTTTTTCTATGCGTTGACAACAAAAAGACGAATAAAACCACACTTATATACCCTATTAAAATTTTTTATCACCATTGAGTTTTTATTAAAATACTATCTAAATATAAATTTAAGTTTTGACTCACTCAAACACAAACTCAAAAAGATTCTTATCTCAAACCATAACTCAAATGTACACAATCAAACACAAATTTAAGTTACAACTTCAACTCAAGTTATAACTCAAACTCAATTCAAGATCTTCACTCAAGAATACTTAACTCAAAAATGTAAAAGAACAACCCCTTAAGTTCATGTTCTTTTTATAAAATTTGAGTTTAAACTTGAATTTGAGGCTAAACTCGAGTTCAAGTTTCCCTTTCAACTCGTGTTTATAAACTCAAACTCAAGTTAATGAATAATATTTTTTCTATTCTTAAAAATATCATAATTTTTTCATTTTAATTCTGACTGAAATGATTTTTTTATGCATTAATAACGAAAAGACGAATAAAATCACACATATATACTTTATTAAAATTTTTCATTACTGTTTTATTTTTATCAAATACTATTTTAATTTTAATTTTAATTTTAACCCACTTAAACACAAATTTAAAAAAAATTTTAATTTAAATCATAACTTAAATGTGTAGATTCAAACTATTAAAAGGTAGTTCGGTAAAATAGCTAATAATATATAACTTCTTAAAAATAAAAATAAAAAACTCACCGAAAACAACTAGCAGACCTCATTAATTAAGAATAAAAACAAAGAAAAGAAAACATATTTAAAAAAGCTAAAGAGATCTCCCGAATAGAGAGAGAAAATGAAGAACAGATGCAAGGTGAGGGTGAGGGTGTGGTGTTTGACTTTGACCGCGGGAGAAGATGGGGCTGTTCCGAAGGTGGTGCAGAATGGATCGGGAGATTCCTAGGCCTACAGGCCTCCAATACCAAGAAAAAGAACAGGAAAAGGAGCCGACCCACCCTTTCGCCGATCAACTAAATCTGGTTTTCTTCTTCGTTGCCGATGAAGACCTCACCCCGAAGCAGTTCCCTTGCGAGGAAACCTCCACCGTGCCAAATGAATCCGAAATTAGGAGGTTTTTCTTTTATAATAAAATTTAGAAAAAAATTTAAATTTGAGTTACAATGGGTTTATTTTTTTTGAGTGAAAAACTTAAAAAAATGTAACTCGAGTTACAATTTTATTTGAGTTCATGTTCTTATAAGTTAAACTCGAGTTTAAGTTTAAAACTTGAGTTCAAGTTTTCTCTTCAACTCGAATTTAAAAACTCAGACTCAAATTAATTAATAGTATTTTTTATATTCTTAAAAATACTATAATTTTTTCGTTTTAATTCTTATTGAGATGATTTTTTTTCTATGCGTTGACAACGAAAAGACGAATAAAACTCAACTCATATACCCTATTAAAATTTTTCATCAGCATTAAGTTTTTATTAAAATAATATCTAAATATAAATTTAAGTTTTGACTCACTTAAACAAAAACTCAAAAAGATTTTTATCTCAAATCATAACTCAAATGTACACAATCAAACACAAACTCAAGTTACAAGTTCAATTTAAGTTATAACTCAAATTCAACTCAAGAATTATACTCAAGTTAAACTCTAAAAGAACAAGCCCAATGTTATTCAATTTTATATTCTTTTATAAAATTTGAGTTTGAATTTGAATTTAAACTTGAAGTTAAATTTGAGTTTAAATTTATCTTTTAACTCAAGTTTATAAACTGAAACTCAAATATATTATTAAAGTGTCATAATTTTTTTATTTTAATTCTGATTGAGATGATTTTTTTTTTATACATTCTCAACGAAAAGAAAAATAAAACATCATCTATATATTTTATTAAAATTTTTCATTATCATTAAGTTTTTATTAAAATAATATCTAAATTTAAATTTAAATTTTGACTCACTTAAACAGAAATTTAAAAAGATTTTTAATATAAATTATAATTTAAATGTACAAATCTAAACACAAATTTAAGTTATAATTTAAATTTAACTTAAAATCATCATTTAAATCACCTCGTAAAAGAACAACCTCTAGATCTGCCCTGCTACCAGCACCAACCCTTCACGCCCCCTGTTGATCTTCGCCGCTTTGAGGCTCCATTGTTCCCCTCCGTTTTGTTGGCTTTTCTTTTTCGTCGATTTGGGCTTTCTTCTCCATTGTTACATCTTGTTTGGTGATCAACAATGTTAAGGAAAATTTTAAAAAAAAATGAAAGGAAAAAAAAGAAAAAAATGTCAAGACATTGTTCTTGTGTACTTTCTTTTTTAGTTTTCCATCGTTTGGTCAAGTTGTTTTCTCTTGATGAAGAAAATTTTTTTGTGTGATGTTTGACAGTCATGCATTAACCAGATTGTCAAGTTTTTTTTTTTGAGTGATTTATAGTTTATGTTTGTTAAATGCTTAAGTAATGTTTGTTAATTTCGGATTGTGTCCTTTCAAAAAAAAATGTATGCGTTCTTGTTTTCGCTTGATGATTATGGGTTTGAATTTTTGATAGATTGAGAGAAAAAAAAAGTAATTTCTTGAGAAATTGGAGTTATTCCATCTGAAGAGATAATAAGGTTAGAGAAGATTTTTTTCTTTTTCCTACAATGGGAAAATAAACTAAACAAAATTTAATTTTTTAGTTTGTCTCCTGCAAATATCAAAGCCTGCGGGTTCTTTTTTTCTTAAAAAAAAAATTAAGGGCATATTCTTTTGTCTAAAAAACTCAAAAAAAGACAACTCGAATTCCAATTTTATTTAAATTTATGTTCTTTTAAGTTTTAACTTTACTCAACTTTATTCAAGTTACAACTTCAACTCAAGTTATAACTCCAATTCAACTCAAAAACTATACTCAAGTTACATTCCAAAAGAACAACCCCTAAGAGTTTGAGCTTTGTTAGGGTTGAGGGTATTTTAGTATTTTCACTAAAACAAAGGTCACATAATAGATTATGTGTAAGAATCTGTTAAAAATTTAACAAAATCTAACGGAAATGGCTTAATTGCCAACATTTTAATAATTGAGGCGTTATTTTTTGAAAATTAGAAGAAAAATGACTAAAGTGTCACCTACTAAAAAAGTTAAAAAGACTAGTGGTACAAATTACCCTTCTTATTTTAATAAAATGTGGGGTCATTTGTCATTTGCACACTTAACTTTTGACAACTTACTTCTTAAAATTTAAATTTTAACAATTTGCCCCAAACTTATAAAAACTGTTGCAACTTGTCCAATTTTAAATTTTGATGATGATTGTGTTAAATTGGTGATGAAAATACAAATTTGATAAAAAAATTTAATATCATAATTTAAATCATAATACAAATCTCTTCAATCAATTTTCTATCCCTTAAATATGATTAAAAACTAGAGAAGATTTGATAAAATGAAACAAATTGTAACTATTTTACAGGTCGGAAGGATAAATTCTTAAAATTGAAAGTTTAAGAGGCAAGTTGTTAAACCTTTATAAATTCATGAGGCAAATATGTAAAATTCCTAAACTGTTTAATTTTCTTCTAGTCACTCTTTATCGAAATCATAATACAAATCTCTTCTTTCTCGGACTCTCAATTCCTTAAATCTAACAAAAATAGAGAAAATTTGATAAAATAAAGCAAAGTGCAACTGTTTTAGAAGTTGGAGGGATAAATTATCAAAGCTGAAAAGTTTTAAAAGCAAGTTGTTAAATTCATACAAGTTTAGGGATAAATCTGCAAAATAACCTAAACTCTTTATTTTTTATTTTTTATTTTTTCTCTAATCACTTATAATTCTAATAATTTCGTAATTGAAAACAAAATACAAAACGCTGGGGTTTTTTTTTTTTATGAGAAGAAAGAAGCTTTGCACGTATGGATGTTAATGGCTACGATTCTCTCACCGTCGTCTCCTCTTCCTCTTCCATTATCGACTCCTTCGTCTTCGTCTTCTTCTTCTTGTTCTTCTTCTCTCTCAAGTTTCTCGCTCTCTCCATTAAAGCACAGACCTCGCCATAGCCACAACCATGTCTTCTTCTCAGCCTCTCAAACCCAATCCCTCGCATGTTTGGAACCGTTTAGCATCAAACAACAACGACAACAGCAACAACAACAAAAACCACTTTTCGATTCGGAGTTGTTCGAGAATTGCTCATCTTTATCCAATTTCGTGGAATTCGACGTCGACGGTTTGCTACATTTGCTGCAGCTTTCGGTTCGTTACAACGATGTCGAGCTCGCCAAGGCGGTTCATGCTTCTGTCGTTAAGCTCGGAGAAGATGTTTACTTGGGAAACTCTCTCATTTCAGCTTATCTCAAGCTCGGTTTCGTCTCCGAAGCGTACGAGGTTTTCATGGCCATGGCTTCCCCTGATTTGGTGTCTTACACTGCTATGATTTCTGGATTTTCCAAGTCCGGTCGTGAAGACGAAGCCGTGGAGCTTTTCTTTCGGATGAGGAGGCTTGGGATTGAGCCTAATGAGTACGGCTTCGTCGCGATTTTGACAGCTTGTATTAGGGTTCTGGAGTTGGAATTTGGTAGTCAAGTTCATGCCTTGGTCATCAAGTTGGGATTTTTGGATTGCGTCTTCGTTGGGAATGCTCTGTTGGGAGTGTATGGGAAATGTGGGTGTCTGGATTTTGCACTCAAGATGTTCGACGAAATGCCGCAGAGAGATCTTGCGTCTTGGAACTCTGCTATTTCCAGTGCTGTGAAGATGGGATTGTATGGTGAAGCCTTGGAGTTGTTTTGTGAGATGCAGAGAAGTGATGGATTTCGAGTTGATTTCTTTACGGTTTCGACTCTATTGACTGCCTGTGCAGGCTGTAATGCTTTGGCACAAGGCAAAGAAGTTCATGCTCATGCTCTAAAATGTGGATTGGAAAGTAATTTAAGTGTTGGCAATTCACTCATTGGGTTCTATACTAAGTGTGGGGGTGTAGAGGATGTGAAGGCTTTGTTTTTGAAAATGCCAGTTAGAGATGTGATAACATGGACTGAGATGATTACGGCGTACATGGAATTCGGGTTGGTTGATTCGGCTTTGGAGGCATTTGCGAAAATGTCAGAGAGGAATTCAATTTCCTGTAATGCCCTTTTGGCTGGATTTTGTAAGAATGGCGAAGGTTTGAGGGCATTGGAATTGTTTGTAGGTGTGGTAAGGGGGCGTATGGAGTTGTCGGATTTCACGTTGACTAGTGCTGTTAATGCTTGTGGCTTGCTTGGGGATAAGAAAGTTAGTGAGCAGATTCATGGGTTCGTTCTTAAGTCTGGTTGTGGGTCAAATTCGTGTATAGAATCAGCATTGCTTGATATGTGTACAAGGTGTGGTAGGATGCCAGATGCGGAGAAGTTGTTTCTTCAGTGGCCAATTGATTGGGATGTTTCTGTAGTATTGACGTCGATGATATGCGGGTATGCTAGAAATGGGCGACTGGAGGATGCGGTTTATCTTTTCGTCATGAGTCAATTGGAAGGAACGATGGTTTTGGACGAAGTCGCCTTAACTTCAGTGCTTGGTATTTGCGGAAGTCTAGCTTTCCACGAAATGGGAAAGCAAATCCACTGTTATGCTCTTAAATCTGGCTTTTCAAGTGATTTAGGGGTAGGAAATGCTATGGTTAGCATGTATGCCAAGTGTTGGAACATGGAGGATGCTGTTAACGTATTCGATTCATTGGCTGCACGCGATGTAGTTTCGTGGAATGGTCTAATTGCTGGGCATCTTCTCCACAGACAGGGTGATAAAGCCTTAGCCGTGTGGTCAGAAATGAAGAATGCAGGCATAAAACCGGACAATGTCACCTTTACTTTGGTCATTTCAGCTTATAGACACACTAACTTCAACTTAGTTAAGGATTGCCGTAGCTTTTATTACTCATTGGATTTGGATTACGGTATTGAGCCGACGTCAGAGCATTTGGCCTCGTTTGTTGGAGTTTTGGGTTATTGGGGTCTATTGGAAGAAGCAGAGGAAATGGTTTATAAGCTTCCATTTGAGCCAGAGGCTTCAGTTTTGCGAGCTTTGCTCGACAGCAGTAGAATCCGTTTGAACACAGCTATTGGAAAAAGGGTTGCGAAGCGCATACTTGCAATGCAGCCAAAAGATCTTTCTAGCTACATACTTGTTTCAAATCTGTATTCTGCCTCTGGGAGATGGCATTGCGCCGAAACAGTGAGAGAGGATATGAGAGAAAAGGGGTTCAAAAAGCACCCGGGTCAGAGTTGGATTGTTCATGAGAACAAGATCCATGCATTCTATGCAAGGGACAAGTCCCATCCCCAAGCAAAAGACATATACAGTGCACTAGAAATTCTCATCTTAGAATGCCTGAAAGCCGGTTATGTGCCGGACACAAGCTTTGTTCTTCATGAAGTAGAGGAGCAGCAGAAGAAGAATTTCTTGTTCTATCACAGCGCAAAACTTGCGGCGACCTACGGAGTTCTAACGGCCAAGCCAGGAAAACCTGTTAGAATAGTTAAGAATATTGCATTGTGTGGGGACTGCCATACATTTTTTAAGTACGTCTCAATTGTGACTAGGAGAGATATATTTCTTAGGGACACTTCTGGTTTTCACTGCTTTTCAAGTGGACAGTGCTCATGCAAAGATTACTGGTGATAGTCAGGTCTTCTGTGCATTCTAGAACCATTGTAACATTTGTATCTAAACTGTAATTTTCAAAGAAGGAATATAAAATCACAAGTATTTATTTACAAAAGCTCTTCAACTGCTACGTAAAACTGCTTATGAAAAAAAAAAAGTTAGATTTTCAGTACGTTTGTCCGAATTCTACTGATTCACTAAGTCGCTGCAATGTGTCGTATTTTTGTTTTTTGGGTCGAATTAAGGTTAATCAAGAGATTTAAGTGATATTTGTGCTAATAATTGAATTGAGATTTGAGAATTTTTGGTCGTAGATGTGCTCTTCTGTCCTCACGTGATGTGGTTATTGGTTTTATCGTTCGTTTGTTTAAAATAAAGGCAGTTGGTAAAATGGGATCGCTTATGACGATTTTACAAATTGTGGGGAGTGTTAAAATTAAAGGCTTGGGGGTAAGTTAGCAAAAACTCCAAATTTTGGGGAGTAAATGTGTTAAAAACCCAAAGAAGTTAATATACGGATTCGTCTCCAAATTAAAAACATTGTCGTTACTTATTTATTTATTTATTGAAAAGAAACATTGTCGTTATTCCAAGCGACGGGAAAACAGATTATTCCATAAACGACAATGTCTCCAAACGGCAATAGCATTTCAAAACGATAACATAAGTTTAAACGACGACAACTCTTTGAAACGGCATTTCTGAGATAGGAAAATGGATAACATCTTTTGTAAACGACACGATTTTGAGAAAATAACAGGGTAACCGCTTAAGATGACATCAGTAACGGAGACGACAATACCCATCATCTAGGATAAACGACAATTACTCCAAGAGAAACAATGAAACATGTGTTATAAACGAAAGCATATCTGAAATATCTTATAAACGACAACCAATTACATTGCAAAAGACTTCAGCTGCACAAAGGACGAGATCAGAAAAGGAATCAGCAGTCTCAAGACGACATGTTATAAATGTGAAAACGACAATGTATTCCGGCAAGGAAACGACATCGATGCAGAAAATGGCAATATAGTTAAATGACGCATCTAATCAACATTTCTTTAAAACGACATAATCTTAAAAAAAGATGACATGTGTAACTTACGACAACATATTTAAAATCTCATAGAAACGACAACGTATTCCAACAGAAAAACGTCTACGTGTTGAAAGCGACATTTACTTAGAAACGACAACTTAATCAAGTAAGAAAAATTCTAGAGTGCACAAGCCGACAATAAAAGAAACGAAACTTACTTCTAACAACGACATATGCCAAATATAACAGAAAGAAAACCGCACTACAGAATAATTTTTGTGCCGAAATAGCAGATTGTAGCATTGGCATATTAACACGAAACTCCATTAAAAATATTCAAAATTAGGAAATAATACTTTCTTAATAATCAAAAACTTTTACTTCGACATAAAAGCGTTGCATTGGAATCTTATATATTAACTGGGGTTTTTTTTTTTTTTGCTAGAATTATATATAAACTGGTTATAATTAAACTGGTTTATTTCTTAGATTCTTAGACTATTGGTTTGTCTCTGCAGGAGGTTGCTTAGATTGGTTGACGGGTTTTTTTTTTGGCTGTTTTTGTTATATATGTCCTTTTTGTTCCCATATTTATATTCTTTGATCAATTCTCTCCTCTTGGACTTTTCTCTTAAAATAAATAAATAAAGTAGGTATACATCGTTCTCGTGATAGATATTTAAGAAAATTGACTAGCTAGATAATTAATGATTCAAGCCTCAATAATGGACGGATTAATTAAGATAATCAACACAATACAGATATACGTACATACATACATATGTATATATATGTATAGCATACGTACTGGTTCATATATAGGCAATTGAAAGTTTTTTTTTTTTTTTTAAGTTAAGAAATATTTCTTTTGCTGCATTATATAATTTAATGGACATCAACAGCATAAGTAAATAAAAGTGTAAAAAACGAAGAAGCAAAAAAAATAAATAAAATAAACCCTAGAATATGACATTCCAAATACTTGAGTTGCATTTAGGGGCGACCCCTATTTGAAGCTTAAAGGAGTTGAGTCACCATATGACGCATATGATTCTTTTCCAATAGTATGGCATATGTAGGGCTAGTTTGGCTGTATTGTTAAATTTTTTTATTATTATACTGTTAGTAAGAAGTTGCGGTGACTAGAAATATGTAGGTGTTTAGTAAATTTTTTTCTAAATTTGTTGTAAATACTAAAAACAAAAATTTATTGTTTGGTAAATTATGTACAAAATTACTGTAAAGATGTATAATGACTAAAATATACATACTTTAACACAGATACTTATAATTAGTTTTATATCTATTTTTATAGTGAATATTCATAATATTTATACACCACAATCCTAAAAAAAAATATAATTTCCATTTTATTAATTAAAATATCTCTAAAAATAAGTTAGTTTTATCAAGTAGATAAATTATATATCTATAAAGAAATTAAATAATATAAAGAATTGGAAATAAATTATTTTTCAAACTTGCAACATTATAATAATAAATATATTATTAAAATTTAGCATAAGATATTTATTTAAAGATTTTTAATTTTTAAATAAACATTTAAAATAAAATATATTCTTTAATTTAATTTGGAACAAATACAATGAGTTGATTGAGAATTAAGTTTTATTATTAGGATCATTTTAGTAAATTTAGACAATAATAGCAGGAGCTGGCAAGCTGCTTTAGAAAAACAATCGTTGACCTACTTCTCAAATTCTGCTGTGGGACAGTAATTTTTAAAAACTGTTAGATAAAAACAGGTTTTGCCAAACACTCAATGCCGTAACTTCTTAAAAAAAAAATGCCAAACGGGTACATAAGCTTGTTTATTTGCGGTGACCCCTTTTTGGTCATTTCACGTTCATGTCACGCCAGAGATGATGAGGTTTTCCACCTCATCCATATTCCCAATTTCTCACCGCGGTACTTTAAACGGTGGTATTTCAATATATATGCATGATTCATGTGCCTTTGTTCAATACACATTTACACACATATGTGTGTGTGTGTGTGTGTGTGTGTGTATATATATATATATATAAAGCCAACGCGTAAGAACCGTTTTATACTGTTGGGGGTGGAACTGGAAGTTAATGGTGAACTTGATATTTGTTTCAAAATAACAATAATACGTTATAAGAAAAACACTTAAGATGTTTAAATGCTTCATTATTATAATAATTTTCTAGTCTTGTCGTTACCTAAAATAACTTTCATATTGCTCTTTTTATTTTTACGTGGTGTAAGGAAAAAAAAGAAATATATATATTTCTTTAATATATGTATACATACATGTATATATGTATGTATGTGTCGTATGTGTGCGTAAGTGCGGGGAGGGGTAAACATTTACAAATAAAAAAGGGATAAAATCAATTTGGTATTATGTATTATAACAAAATTTTAAGTTAGTACTCCGTATTTTTTATAATATTAAAATGATACCCTCCAATTTTAAAAAACATTTTTTCAATACCCTAAGCCTCTTTTTTGGGACGTAAAATGACGATTTTATCCTCATTAATATTTTCTTAATATTATAACCTGAAATTCAATTTCATTTTTTTTCATTAATTACTTTAAAACTGTCTTTATCATTAATTAGTTAAAAACTAAAACTTAAAAGAAAAAACTAAAAAGAAAACGTAAACCTCTGCGTCTTTTCAAATTTTATATCCAGATCTCAGATCACAAATGCTGAAATGTCTCATTTTTAAATTTGGAATTTGAGTTTCCAGAGAACCCAGATTTGAATATGAAAGTTCTCTGGAAACTCAAATTCCAAGTTTGAAAATGAGATTTTTCAGCATTTGTGATATGAGATCTGGATATAAAATTTGAAAAGATGCAAAGGCTTAAGTAATCTTTTTAGTTTTTCCTTTTAAATTTTAGTTTTTAAGTAATTAATGATAAAAACAATTTTAAACATTAATGAAAAAAATGAAATTGAATTTCAAGTCAAAAATTGAGATAATATTAATGAGGGTAAAATCGTCATTCTATATCCCAAAAAAAGACTCAGAGTACCGAAAAAATATTTTCTAAAATTTAAGAGTATTATTTTAATATTATAAAAAATACAAGATACCAACTCAATATTTTGTTATAATATATAATACTAAATTGATTTTATCCCAACAACGAACCCTTGATGGCGTCCGACACCCGTTGATGGAGTAACTGAGAGGTGGCAAACACGAGCGTAATTTAAGTATTCAGCAAAAAATAAAAATAAAAAAAAATAAAAAAATAAAAGAAAAGAAAAGAAAAGTGAGAGTAGATTTTGAAAATAATATATATCCGTCCAAGTTGGAAGCCTCCTTTGTGTATTTGTATTCTTTTGTATTTTATGTATCAACGCGTATATCTGCATGTAATAGTGGAGTTAGGATTTTGTTATAGAAGCGTAAACTAAAAATTGTTAAAAACACAAATAATATTAATTTCTAATACTATTAACAAGTTAAAAATAAATGTATGTGCATATTGATCAGTTTATTAAATTTTTAAATAAAATTTTAAAGATGAAAGGGTAAGTTTTAAAAGAAGTGTTTACTACCTCAACAAAATCAAATTAGGAGAAAACTGTTTATGAGCAAATAGTAACTGAGGAGTTATTTGGGGAAAAAAAAAGCTTAATTAGGGACACATTTAAGAAATATAATTTAATAACCCTATTAATTTTTTTTAGCGAGACTTACTTTTGATACAATAAAGGTTGTACGAAAAAACTGTTTAATTCGTTGATTCGAGTTTTTAATTTGAATTGAGACGTGATTTTATATGAGAGCTTTTTACTGTAGTAAAAAAGTTAGATGTGACTGTTTCTCAGAGCTTTTTACTGTAGCAAAATTCGAATTCTAAACTCGAATCGGTGAAATGAACAGGGTCTAAAAATTTTAATTAAAGTAAAGTATTCAATTAGGTACATTTCAGAGTATAAGATTTAATAAGAAAAAAAACAAACAATCAATCAAAAAAAAGCAAAAAGTAAAAAAAATAATAATTTGAATATATTTTGGTTGAGATATTTTGAAATTTTTATTAATGAAGGAGAACATATATGAAAAAAAAATTTAAAAATTATGAGATAAAGTGTAAAAACTAAAAATCAGTTAAAAATTAGTTTAATCCGTTCATTTCACCGATTCGAGTTTAGAATTTGAGTTTTGTTACAATAAAAAACTCTCATAAACAGTCACATCTAACTTTTTTATTACAGTAAAAAAACTCTCACATAAAATTACATCTCAACTCAAATTAAAAACTTAAATCAATAAATTAAACGGACCATAAAAATGAAGGGTATAGGTCCCGGGGCCTCACCTCCCTCAGCCTCTGCATGTGACGTATTGAAGGATCACATTGATCGGTTTCTCTCTGTGAGTCGCAACGCATGTGATCCTCGTTTTTTTTTTTTTTCTTTTCGGAATCGTCACATCATATATCATATAATTGTGTGTGTGTGATTTATGCTTTCATTCGTTGCATCATAAATAAATTGGAAGAAGCAACACGTATCTTTTCTTTTCAGTTTACTTGGGATGCCGTGGCCAGACAGAAAAGTATATAAATCAGCCCAAAAAAAAAAAAGGCAACTGTCACGAAGAAACTTTTATTAGCTCACATTATAAAGAAAAAAAAAATCTAATTGAAGCGATTATTTCGGTCATGTTTGAAATTATTTCCGTTTTATTTTTTACTTTTTTTTGAGAAAAAAAAATAAAAATGATATCAAAACAGTATTTGGCACAATAAAAATAAAAAATAAAAATAAAAATACTTTTTTAATTTAGTATAAAATGAGAAAAATAAAAAATAATTTTTATTTATTTTTTATTTTTTATTTTTATTTTCTCCTCTCTCGACTAGAGAGAGAGAGAAAAAGAGACATTAATGGGTTTTTTACACTGAAAATAATCTCTTGATAAAACTACAAAATGCATTTTTAAAAATAATTTCTGTCTGAAATTAAAAATATTTTCATTTTTATTTTCATATAAAAAATAAAATCATTTTAAAATAAATTTCAAACACACCATTCATTTTTCTTTTCTTTTCGGCTTTTGATTTGTTAGGGAATAGTGTCGTTTATCAAGTTTATGACATCTCATTATAAGAATAAAAATGTCTAGCGTCCGGACATATAAAAATAACCAAAAAAAAAAAAAAAGAAAAGGTAACAACAAGGTAAAAATTACAAACTAAATCGTAAAATAAACGCCACTAATTTTTTTTAAAAAAGACTATAAGGCACGTTAATGGTAGACCTCTATTAATAGAAGTTGGACCCTCTGTAATATAGAATCTATAATTGAGACTGATGTAATGGTGGTATCCTAAGCATTTTTCTTATTAAAGATTCATGAACTTAATTTTTTTTTAATTATTTGTTCAATGGAAAAGGAAGAAGAAGAAGAGCAAGAGAATAATATTGGAAGTTTAATGTGCGTTTAGTTAGTAGATTCGTGTCATAGTTTAAATCATAATTCGTGATTTGTTATAATATTTTTTCTTATAAAAAATACATATAAATTAAAAATAATTTTAAATCATAATTTTATAAACTGAAAGTTCACGTGTCATTTGTATATGAACTAATATAACAGTGAAAAACAGTTTGCATTCGTGCACGTGTCATTTGTAAGTGGATTAAGTCAGTATACTGTAACGTTATACCACTCTAAAAGACAATAAATATTAAATAAAGAAAAAGCAAGAACTCACTTACCCAAATTCAAAGTTGGAATGAAATCAACAGAGCTGCATTAGAAAGCAGTATTGCAGGTGAAACTTTTAACCTCATTTTAATTTAAATTAAGACGTAGGAGACAGTTTAATAAGGAGATTCATACTATGATTTAAATCATGATTCAAAATTTATTATAGTATTTTTTTTATAAAAAATACACGTAAATTGAAAATAATTTTAATACATGAACTGAACGTCTCCGTAATTTTATGTGAAAATTTAAAAAAAAATTAAATATGAATTTTATAAAAAAAATTTAAATGTAATAAAATTATAATTAAAAATTCGACTGGTGAAATAAACGAGACGTTTTACTTAGTTTGAAAACAGTTCAACTTATTTATAGGTAAAACTAATTACACATATACATGACATTATATAGATATGGTTTGGAAACAGTTTAATTTTAACATCAGCTAAAATGTCCGTTTAGCTTATGTGAAGGTGACACATGCACATAACAAAGTCTTGTAGGTGACTCTTAGTTGAGAACGTGGAATGGCACCACATAGAAAAATGAATCATCATCATCCAGTGAGAAATTAAGGTCCCATTTACTTCACCAATTCGAATTTAGAATTTAAGTTTTGCTATAGTAAAAAGTTCTCAAAAACAGTCACATTTAACTTTTTTGCTACAGTAAAAAGCTCTCACATAAAATCACATATCAACTCAAATTATAAACTCGAATCAGTAAAGTGAACGGGTCCTAAGTAGTCAGGGGTTGTATGTAGATATATATATATATATTTATATGTGTGTGTGTGTGTGTGTATGGAGGAGGGAAAATTAATTGATGTGTTAATAATGAACTATCGGTGGGGGCTAGGTGGGAAAAAAGAGATTTATAGGGGCAAAAAGGGAAAACTAGAAAGTTTGCATGAACAATTCGGAAATAGAGGGCAATACTAGAGGACGCCTGGCGTGATGAAGCAACCATTTATTACCAAATGTTCTCCCCTTACCCAAACCAAAACTCTTCGTTTTAGCAAAGTGACAAAACCCAACAAGAAAATAAAGAGAGAGAAACTAGAGAGAGAGAGAGAGAGAGAGAGTAATACTAACATGCTTGTAAACAAAAGCTGTGAGAGAGAAAGAAAGAGAAGGTAGCTAGCTCTGCCATGGGGAATCATAGTACTAACAAAAGATTGTTTGCATGTAGGTCCTTACCATCCTCTTCTTATTACTCATCAAAAACACTAATTTTGTTGGTTGTGATTATATTTCCTCTGGTGGTGGTTTCTGGGATATTTTCATTTTTGGGTCCAAAATCCTCAAACTCATGGGTTTTCATCCCAAACTACCCTTGGCTTTGGAGCTCTGTGTCTTCTTCTCCTACTAGTAGTACTTCTGAAGTTTCTTTAAGGTCAAACATGGTGGTGGATATTGTGAACAACAATAAGGAAGAAGCTATTTCTGATGATTCTTTGTTTAATCGTTCTTCTTCTCCACCACTTGCCATAGAAGCAATTTCTCCATCACCTTCTCAAGAACATTCTGTAAGTTTATTTATTTTATTTATTTATTATTATTATTATTATTATTATTATTTGTTCTTTTCTTTCACATGCATTTTCATTTTCTGTTGTTGATTTGTTGATGTGAGTTCATCCCTTTTGATGCTTTTCCGTTACGTTGAGTTGTGTGGTGCTGAAAAGTAAGTTTTTTGGCATGGCAATACCAATCAAAATAATGGCTTTTACTTTGATTTTCTTTTATTGTTCTATTATTATTATTATTATTATTATTATTATTATTATTATTATTATTATTATTTGTTTTTTTTTTTTTTTTTTTTAGGCAATACCAATCAAAATAATGGCTTTTACTTTGATTTTCTTTTATTGTTCTATTATTATTATTATTATTATTATTATTATTATTATTATTATTATTATTATTTGACTTTTTTTTTTTTGTGTTCAATGAATCAATATATGGGCGGTCAGTTTAACTGTTTAAGCCGCACCTCATGAAGCTGAAAATTATTTTTCTTTGATTGTCCTAATTTGGACGCAAAGGGAAGAAAAATTAGGAAAGGAAGTAAGTATCCTTTGATGGAAACAACAACTTGGATTTTTCTTTTGAAATAATCAAGCACGTTTAGAATTTCAAAAATATAATGCAAGAATATATTATTTTTCAGTTCACTTATATCTTGGTTGATGCATTCCAGCATGTTTAATGTTTATTAGGGTTTTTTTTAAAAAAAATATATATATTTGTTTAATGGTCACGGTTTAGATGGATAAAACAGTTCCCCATATTATCCTCTTCAATATAGTTGGTGAAGGATTTATTAAAGAAAGTACTAAATACGATTCCATTGTTATTAAAGAATTACTGAAAATGATTCTAAGCTTCCACGGCATGTTATTGACTTTTAGGAAAACTAAAAGGGACATCATGCATGTGCTTTTGTCCATTCTACTCAATCTTGTATTGCTAATTATATCATATGCTTGGTGTGACATATTATTCCTATTTTTGGAAAACTTGCTAGTAATGGCAATTTTGGCATTCTTTCCATAAACATATCCTAAAATTGCCTCCACCATCTTAAATGTGACTTGACTGCTAGTTATGAGTTTATTGGAAATATTAAGAAAGTATTTCTTTTTTATTGTCTTGTTTATTTAGAATGTTGAATTTAGTGATTTTGACTGTTAGTCGGTTTAATTAACAGAATGATACCAAAGAAAATAGCTTCAACATTTCGGCGAGTGAACCCCAAATTGTTGTTCCATTGGTGAATGAATCTCGTGTTGTTCCCTTGGTAAAAGCAAGACGGCATAGAGAATATTCCGATTTAGAGCGGCTTGAAGCCCGCCTAATGAAAGCTCGATCCGCAATTAGTGAAGCTAAGGTTGGGAATGAGACGCAAGATCCTGAATATGTTCCAACGGGTCCAATGTATTGGAATTCCAAAGCCTTCCACAGGTACTAATATAAGTTTGTGACACTAAATATCACGTTGTGACGAGTGAATTGTCATTTTTTCAATTTCGGTGTACAACTAGTACACCAATCAAAAACCAAATCATGAGATATTAATGTCTCAATATTTTCCAATTGATAAAATCTTTGCAAGTACCATGTGTTAGTATATATATAGATGTCATTTGGGATTAATTTCAGGAGCTACATAGAAATGGAAAAGGAGTTCAAGGTATTTGTGTATGAAGAAGGCGAGCCTCCATTGTTCCACAATGGCCCTTGCAAGAGCATATACTCCATGGAGGGAAACTTCATCCATGAAATCGAGATGAACAGCCAGTTTCGAACCAAAGATCCGAACAAAGCGCACGTTTTTTTCCTCCCATTCAGCGTGACAATGTTGGTCCGATACGTATACGTCCGCGACTCCCACGATTTCCATCCCATCAAGCAGACCGTCATAGACTATGTCAATGTCGTTTCGGAAAAGCATCCCTTTTGGAATCGTAGCCTTGCAGCTGATCATTTTATGCTTTCCTGCCATGATTGGGTACACCTCTCATTTCCTTCAAACAAAATGATCATGATCAAATTTATTGCTCATATTTGCCATCAGTCTAATACATTATGTCATGTACTAATACCAACATGTTAATTTTTGTTTTTTTGGCCGAAAACATATCACGATAGTATTTTTTTCGTCTTTTTTCTCTGTTTCTATAAGTATTTGTCCTTTTAATTAGGGGCCGGAAGCTTCCAGATCCAATCGATTTTTACACCAAAACTCGATAAGAGTTCTATGCAATGCGAACACCTCGGAGGGTTTTAACCCCTCCAAGGATGTCTCCTTCCCGGAAATCAACCTCCTAAGTGGCGCGACCGACGGCTTACTAGGCGGCCCATCAGCGTCTCGCCGTCCCAATCTTGCTTTCTTTGCCGGAGGAGTTCACGGACCAATCAGACCTATACTCCTAGAGCACTGGGAGAACAAAGACGAGGACATGAAAATCCAGCAGTACCTCCCCAAGGGGGTCTCTTACTACGATATGCTTAGAAAGAGCAAATACTGCATTTGCCCGAGCGGGTACGAGGTGGCAAGCCCGAGAATCGTGGAGGCGATCTACACGGGCTGCGTTCCCGTGCTTATCTCCGACCACTACGTCCCGCCGTTCAGCGATGTCTTGAACTGGAAATCGTTCTCCGTCGAGGTCCCGGTGAAGGACATTCCCAACCTGAAGACAATCCTAATGAGCATATCTCCAAGGCAGTACATAAGAATGCAGAGGAGAGTGCTAAAAGTGAGGAGACACTTTGAGGTCAATTCTCCGCCTAAGAGGTTTGATGTATTTCACATGATTCTTCATTCCGTTTGGCTCAGAAGACTTAATATCAGAATTCATGATGATCAATAAAATCATGAATATCTAATTTGAAGGCTGTGATCATGTTTGGTTGATGAGGGTGATACATGAGATTCTTTTTTTTCCTTTGTGTGCAATCTAGTTGAATTGATGTACAATAATATAAGGTTTCAGTTGTGCACTAATGTGGATGTAATGATCTGCTATAGTGCATGTACAATATTCCTTATGGTGCGAGGCTTAGCGAGTTGTATTGTATAAATCTGTGTTGTAAATTTTTATTTTTATTTTTTTGAATTGCAAATGAAGTGATTGTTTTGTTAGGACAGGATTGATGATTGTTTAATTTCGATGGAAAAAAAAAGTTGATCGTTGTTTTACATTGTGCACCCTAGATTCTCACCGTGATTGGTAGATGTTAGTTTACCAATTCATCTTAAAAATTTAAGCTAGACAATGGATAATCGTGTGAGTACGTGAATATTTTAGTCTGAGATATATTAAAGACCCAACACGTGATGATAATGAGAATAAATAACGTAATTACAGGCGTTTGAACTTATGACTTCCTGTTTTGATACCATATTAGTTTATCAATTTATCTCAAAAGCTTAAGCTGTTAGAAGGTGGGCTAACAATAGTGTTCCAAACAATAGTTTTATACTTTAACAGTAAACACTAGTTGAAATTTTTAATGGAGATAGTTGACATTGTGTATTCTTTGTAATTAATTATTTGTTTCCTCATTTGTTTATGTCATTAGCTGTAAATTGATTGTAATATATTATACATCCTTGACTATATATACCGGTTATTATCAATAGAGAACCATGCCATATTCTCCCACTCTTTGTTTTGTTACAATTTTCAGTGCTTTCATTGTACTAAATTTTGCACAATAATTTGTCAGTGTCGTCTTTTTCATTTTTATTGGGAGTTTTTTCGCACAATTTTAGGCATCGTTCATTTCACCGATTTGAGTTTAGAATCTGAGTTTTGTTACAGTAAAAAGCTCTCAGAAACAGTCACATTTAACTTTTTGTTACAGTAAAAAGTTCTTACATAAAATCACATATCAACTCGAATCATCAAACTAAACGGGCTCGTAGATTTAAAAACAAAACCTCATAGGATATTCTATTCTCCTGTGGAATTTTCATTTTTATTATCATCTCAAAACAGAATTGTATTAGTAAATGACAAAATAACCTACCTATAAGACGGTTTATAATTGTTCAGTCAAAGTCAATATAGCTTTTAACTTTCACATTAAAATTACAGTATTTTACACATTTGTTCTCTGAATTTGTCTGGTTTTAACAACTTATCTCTTAAATTTTACTTTTGACAAGTTGTTTTCTCAACTTGTAAAATTGTTGCAATATGTTTTATTTTGACAATGATTGTGTTAAATTACTATTAAAAAAACACATTCAACAAAATATTTTAACATACAAATTTAAATGTAACATAAATCTTTTAATTCTTCAATTTTTTAATCTCTCAAAATCTAATAAAAAATTTGAGCAAATTTAATAATATGGGGTATGTTGTAATAATTTTACAAGTTTGGGTGGGTGTTGATTGTCAAAATTAAAAAGGGAGATAATTTGTTAAACCACGACAAGTTTGGAGGATAATTGTGCTAAAAATACAAAAAAAAAAAAATTGTCTTAGTTAATACACTGTCGTATACACAATGTCATATTAAAGATTATTTAATCACATCATATTAAATAAACTATAGCAATTTAATAGCCTGGCAAAAATTTACGGTTAAAAACAGTAAAGAATTACCCATTTTCAAACACTAACTGGCTTACTACTAACAAAAACCACAAGAGTTTGGTGGGTCTTAGTAGCGTCTTAGTTCAAGAGGAGTAAAAAAACATGAAGGATTCATTTATTTCATCGATTTGAGTTTAGAATTTAAATTTTGCTATAGTAAAAAGTTTTTACAAATAGTCATATCTAACTTTTTTGTTACAATAAAAAACTCTCATATAAAATCACATATCAACTCTAATAAAAAAACTCGAATCAGCGAACTAAACTGATCTAAAAACTAAATGGCTTGTTCTTTTAAGTGAAAAACTCAAAAAAATGCAACTCGAGTTACAACTTTATTCGAGTTCATGTTCTTTTAAGTTTAAACTCGAGTTCAAACTCGAGTTTGGGACTAAAACTCGAGTTCAAGTTTCCCGTTCAACTCGAGTTCAGAAACTCGAACTCAAATTAATGAACAATATTTTTTCTATTCTTAAAAATGCTATAACTTTTTCGTTTTAATTCTGATTGAGATGATTCTTTTTCTATGCGTTGACAACGAAAAGACGAATAAAACCCGACCTATATACTCTATTAAAATTTTTTTTCAACATTGAGTTTTTATTAAAATACTATCTAAATACAAATTCAAGTTTTGATTCACTCAAACACAAACTCAAAAATATTATTATCTCAAACCATAACTCAAATGTACACAACCAAATATAAACTCAAGTTACGAGTTCAATTCAAGTTATAACTCAAATTTAACTCAAGAATTATACTCAAATTAGGGCCCGTTCACTTCGCTGATTCGAGTTTTTAATTCGAGTTGAGATGTGATTTTATGTGAGAGCTTTTTACTGTAGTAAAAAAGTTAGATGTGATTGTTTGTGAGAGTTTTTTACTGTAGTAAAACTCGAATTCTAAACTCGAATCATAAACGGAACCTTAAACTCTAAAAGAATCGGTCCTAATTTATGGGCTGTTGTGGTATCATAATATCACTTGCATCGAGTTTCGCTCAACTAAAATTCACGGAAGAGCTTCAGTTGTCATCAATTTCAAGAACATTGTGACACGTGAGTGAAATTATTTGACAAACTTCAACCGTGCCAATTTCAGAGCAGTTTCACCGTATAATAATTATGAAATGTGAAGAAATAATTTGCTAGAAGAATATTCATCAGCCAAATCATAAATTCCGAACAATATACAATTTTTACTGAAGCTGCTTTAATTGATGCTTTTGTCTGGCTTTATTCTTCATGTTTTAAATATGCAAATTCCTTTGTTTTGTTTCTTTCCTATTTTGATATGACATGAAACTAAAGGGCCATGCCTTAGAATTATCAATTATGGAATCGTATCGCTATTGTCCCATCTATTTGAAAGAAATACCACATTGTATCGTTTCAGCTAATTAAAGAGAAAAAGAAAACAAAAAAGACTGGCAAACAAGGCGATTTTTCAAGTTTATTACCGTTTAGTTCGTTGATTTGAGTTTTTAATTTAAATTGAGATGTGATTTTATATGAGAGTTTTTACTGTAATAAAAAAGTTATATGTGACTGTTTTTAAGAATTTTTTACTGTAGTAAAACTCAAATTTTAAACTCGAATCAATAAAATAAACGGAAAGAAATTGAAAACAGAGAAACTGACAAATACCATCTTGCCTTTCATTTTTTTTAAAAAAAAGAAAAGAAAAAAGAAAACACTGACATGTTTTTTATGTTGTAATTAAACAACAATTTGTTGACTAATATCAGAAAACGACACGTCGTCGTTCTCAATTTCCCAATGAAAGGACATGGTTTGTTTCTCATGAAAGAAAACGACAGCCGCAAGTACAAATGACATGCATCTAAATTATACATTTTTATTTAAATAAAAAAGAAATAATTATACGTCCTTTCTTCAAATTCAAAATCTAAACGTCGTTTTTTAACTTGTGATGACAAAACGACAAGTCGGTTTTGCTCATATCTTGTAGAGAAAAACGACGTGTAGTTTTTTCGCTTGCTTTTGCATAAGATAACATCATAAACGACAACTAAGAAAGACATGTCGTTTCCTTCAATTAAGAGGACAACAATCTTGTCGCCAGAGGTGACGGAAAACAAAGATCCATAAATGTTTAGCCAAATGTTTCTCTCATTGAAACTCACCATAAAATAAACATGCTGTTCAAAAACTAAACTACATTTTAGATGTTGTGTAGTCCGTTAAATAAACATGTCGTTTATACTTCTAAAAACTTTACATGTCGATTTTCCACAATGAAACCTATATCTCTTCTTCTGTAATAAACGACAACAACAGAAAACAACACGTAATTTGGGACTCGTTTAGTTCTTTTGATTCGACTTTTTAATTTGAGTTGAAATGTGATTTTAAATGAGAGCTTTTTATTGTAATAAAAAAATTAGACGTGGCTGTTTTTTAGAGCTTTCTACTGTAGTAAAACTCGAATCGGTAAAATATTCTAAATTTAAATCGGTAAAATAAACAGGACCTTAGTATTGCGTAGGAAGTGACAAGCCGTTTCCAGTGAATGTCGTTTTTCATGAAAATAAAAACATTTCGTAATGCAACCTATCATCTATCTGTAATTTGTGCAAAATGAACTATCTTTTAGATTGCATAAATAAATCGTCATATACTATTCAACCATATTTTTTTATTTTTGAGTCAAATAATATTCAAATATGTTGAAACTTAAATTACATAATTTCAAATCTTGATATTGAAATTACATAAATATTAGCAACAAATTCTTAAATAGTGCCTGAAAAAACTTTTATTTTTTGTGTGTGGAAAAATATAAAAAAATATTTAAATGAACTTAAACTCTTAAAGCATATTAGAACTTGGAGTTCTTTCATCTTTTCTATTTTTCCCCCCATCAACTTTCCCGTTTCAACCTTTAGCTTGATGTCTGTACTGCATACACTACAATAATTTGTCCGAACTTAACATTCTCATCTTAATTCACTCCACCAGAGACTTCACAACTACAAGAGCAAAAAAAAAAAAATCATCTACTCCAAAAACTCCGGCGTTCACTTTACCGATTTGAGTTTAAAATTCGAGTTTTATTATAGTAAAAAACTCTCAAAAATAATCATATTTAACTTTTTTACTACAATAAAAAAACTCTCATATAAAATTACATATCAACTTAAATCAGCGAACTAAACATGCATCAACTTAGTCTCTACTCAAAACACCGAAGCAACCTCAACATGCCACGTGAAGGACACGTGGAGTCCATCAACCTATACTCTGACCAACACCACCGTAAAAAGAGTCCTAGAACTTTCCACTCCATTATTTTCTATTTTTCGAACTTTTTTTTTTTCAAAGAACGACATTCTAGAATTTCACACACTAAACCAAAAAGCCCAATGCCTTAATGTTACCTCATCCCATAAAAACTTCTTTGCATGCAAGAGAACGCGTCCTCCTTCATCATAACCATGCAACGTGTCCATTTGAAAACCCACTTCGACACGTGGCAGTCATACAATGCTCCTATGTCCTTTACGTGTCCTCTTCTCATGCACTATAATGATCGTATATAGAGTTAGTAAGTGAACTAGAGTTTAATGCTTCACCAGCTAATACCAAAAGAAACGAAAACCAAAACAAAATTTCAGATTTCACAAATTTTAGTTTTGTGAGAGAATTCATCACTGAACATGGCGTCTTCGAAGCAATACAAGACAGAGGAAGCCGAGGCAGCCGCGAAGCTTGCGGCGACCGATCTCGAAGAAGTGAACAGAGAAAAGAGGTACGAGGAAAACAAAGGCGTGTCCACTGAGCAGCAACAAGAAGAGAAGCCGGGGGTTATAGGAACGGTGTTGAAGGCGGTCGAGCACGTGAAAGAAGCGGTCATCGGAAAGAGCCCGGAGACGACGAGGGACGGCGAGGACAGATACGCCGAGGAGAAGTTGGCGAGAGCTAGAGAAGAGAAGGAGGAGGGAAGAGATCGGAGTTCCGAGACAACTCAGAAGGCGAAGGAGACGACGGAGGAGGCGGCGAGGAAGATAGAGGAGTACAAGGAGTCGGCGAAGGAGAGGGCGGAGGAGGCGGCGGAGAGGACGAAGGAGAAGGCGGAGGAGACTAAAGGATCGGTGAAGGAGAGGGCCGGGGAGTACGCCGAGAAGGCGAAGGAGACTAAGGAGTCGGCGAAGGGAACGGTGAGCGAGTATGCCGATTCGGCGGCCGAGAGGGCTAAGCAGGCCAAGGACGCGGCGGCGGAGAAGGCCAAACAAGCTAAAGACACTACTATGGGAAAGGCGGCGGAGTATAAGGATTACGCGGCGGAGAAGGCCAAAGAAGCAAAGGATACGACTGTGGGAAAGGCCGCGGAGTATAAGGATTTTGCGGCGGAGAAGGCGAGGGAGGCGAAGGACGCGACGGTGGGGAAGGCGGCGGAGTACAAGGATTATGCGGCGGAGAAGGCGATGGAGACGAAGGAGGCGGCGGCGGAGAAGGCGACAGAGGTGAAGGATAAGGCGGCGGAGAAGGCGGAGCAAGGGAAGGAGAAGCTCGGAGAGTATAAAGATTGCACGGCTGAGAAAGCCAAGGAGAATAAGGATACAACGGTTAGTAAGCTTGGTGAGCTCAAGGATACAGCTACTGGAGCTGCTAGAAAGGCAATTGATTTCTTTTCTGGCAAGAAAGAGGAGACAAAGGAGAAAGTGCCTGAGACAGGAGAGAAGGTTAAGGTAAATAAGACTTGTGGTGGTATATTATATATATATATATATATATTATATACACACATACATACATATAGATATATTTATATCTACACGCATTCGATATATATTAAGAAAAATATTGTTTGATTTTGCAGGAGAAATTGAGCGAAGAAGCGGAAGAAACGAGGCGAAAGATCGAGGAGTTGAAGCTTAAGGGCTATGAGACTACACAGAAGGCCGGTGAATACAAAGATACTGCCGGCGAAAGGTAAGATCACAATTTTATTTTAAATATCTTTGTATGATATAATTCGTATTCACTGCTTGTGTTTTTTTAATTTGTTGCTTAATTGCATATGGGGGTGATGCTTTATAGAGCTATTGCAGTATAGTCTGAAACTTGATTAAAATTTTGAAACTTAATTGGAAATGACAAAAATGTTCTCCATTTATTGAAAAAAAAAAAAATGTTTTCAATTCAAGGCATGCTCTGAAAGGATAACGAGAAATACACGTATGTGCATAAATTAAAATTGTAGTGAAATATTTCAGCTAGTATCATAATTTTGACTTGTTTGTAATAAGGTTATTTATTATGTAATTAGGATCCTGTCATGTAAAAAAAGTACATTATTTTACCTTATTTTGTATCTTTACGTGTAGAATATATATATTTTAAAAAAAAATGTAGAGTTCCTCGTGACATATTAAGCTCCTAAAGTATTAGTATTGCCGGTTATTTCCCTCATTCTTAAGAATGCTTTTACATTTTCTCATAACATGATCAAATCATATAGAGACACTATAATTAGTTGCCTCATTGTGTACTTAAATTAGAAAAATTTTACATGTAGAGCGACTCATAGTAGCACATTAATTTAAGTTCCAAAAGAAAACTAATCACTAATTTACCAATCTTTTATGATCTTAGAATAATTTTACATGTAGAGTTGTAATTTGACACATTATAATATTGAAGGGACAGGGATGAACCAGGGAAAGAGAAGGGGAGGTTCTGGTGGTAGCCTTAGAGGAGACCCGCCCGGGGTACGTGGCGGCTGTCCTCAAGGAGGCAGACCAGGAGACGGGCCAGACTTTCAACGATGTGGGCCGGATAGACGACGAGGGCGTTATCAGAATCGAGCGCAAGGACCGCCACGGGAAGATGTGATCCTGGCCCATCATTCTCCGGGCCGGACCAGGTCGGGCCTTAATCATTGGGCTTTTCTTTTGTTCCTTTTGTTGTTGTACGTTGGTTCTCTCTCTCTCTCTTTGATTGTAAAGCTAATAACTCTGGCTCGGCTTTAGATTGCCCTTTTTCTTTACCGTGTTTAATGACTCGGTTTTAGTATGTGCTGTTTTTTGTTGCATCATTTTGTCTTCCAAGTAATTGCGTCGTATTGAATTCCTTATTTGTGGCACACGTGTTGGGCCGGGACCCAATTCAAACCCGAGTTCGATCTCGACCCCGGTCCCGACTCGGTCCGAGCCGGGCCCGTTGAGAGTGCAATCATAGCTAATAGCTAATTCTACTTTGATAGATGATCTCAATGAAGTTCATTTGCTTTAAAATTTAGGACACCATTTAAAGCTTATTTTGAAATGCAAGGTGAAATAAGATGGATGCGGAATCCAATGGAATTGTTTATTTAACAACTAACTTAAACTTTGAGTTGTGTATTTTAAACTTAAAACTTGAGTGAGAAAAATACTGTAATAAAACTCATTACTCATTTACTCAAGTTATGATCTCATTACTCATTTACTCAAATTATGATTACAAAACTTGAGTTACGACTACAAAACTTCAGTTACGATTATAAGTTACGATTTGAGTTGTTACGACTTTACAACTTGATTTTACAACTTGAAAAACGACTTTACAATTTGACTTTTGACTTTACAACTTGAAAAACGACTTTACAACTTGAAATTTTCAAACTGAAAATTTCAGTTACGATTTATAATTTGATTATAATTTAAGTTGCGCTTCTGAGCTAAATCAATCCCGCACAGGTGATTACCCGGAATTTACACTCAATGGAAAAAAGGAAGAAAAAATCCGCTTTGAAAGCGATTCCAGAGACCATAAGACCGGGTGGCGGGCGGAAGCAGCAGAAGTATTGAGATTTGCTTGTTCAGAGATGCGTCAAAGTATACCTATTAAAGTTGATTGCAAGGGTTTGAGTTGTGAAAATAATTTGTTACAATTTGAGTTGTAAACTGAACCCGTTTAGTTCCCTGATTCGAGTTTTTAATTTGAGTTAAGATGTGATTTCATGTGAGAGTTTTTTATTATAGTAAAATTTAAATTTTAAACTTAAATCTATAAAATAAAATGAACAAAGATTAATGAGTTGTGAAATGAAAAAGACTTATGAGTTTTGAAATATCTCGTTTGTTTCAATACTTCTTAAAAAAAAGTTCCATTGGATTAAGAGAGTAAAGGAAGAAAGCGAATTGGTATGTCAATTCCTTTTCCCCCCGATAAGTCTTTTACACAGGTTGTTGTCCGAACGAAATTGAAATCTGAATATAATTATTCGAAAAAAGCAAGAGCAGCAATCCAAGAAAATAAAAAAAAAAAATCTATATGGATTTTTATTTGTAGGATTAAACAAGTCTTTTTTGTTCCGGAATAATAATTGGCTACATAATAATTGACCAATGTAGCGATGAATGGTAGGGTTTGGTGTCTCTAAGCTGACATGGAATTATAATATAAACAACAACTAGTATAAAGGGAATCCAAAGGTGGATCTGCATGGGGTTGGGTGAATCGCGAAAGATTCCAGGTGGGATATGACTTTTATATCCCTGAAAGTGAAATTCTACTGCTCATGATTTTAAAATAGAATTGGACGAAAGACATGACATGAATTGTTTGTATGTCAACATTCCTTCATAATATCATTGATTGGTCAAGGTGGTTTGTGATCTCCAGCTGAAAAGAAACACTAATATTTAGGTCTCGTTCATTTCACCGATTCGAATTTTTAATTTTAGATTTTTACAGTAAAAAGCTCTCAGAAAATGTCACATTTAACTTTTTCTGTTACAGTAAAAAGCTCTTATAAAATGTTACATCTCAGCTCGAATTGAAAACTCGAATCCGTGAAGTGAACGAGGCATGTAGTAACCTTAAGGCAATGAATATAAGCTTAAATCAATTTGTTATTCTTCAAATTACATACCGCAATAGGGTATAGTTTAGGTAATTTTACACAATTTCATTTCACCATAAAGTGTAATCTTCCTATCCCTAAAAAAAAAAAAAAAGGGCAAAAAAATATTTTTACTGAGGTTTTTTAAAATTCAGAAAGTGCCTAGATTATTTCAAACGCCGAAAATAATATGAATAAATGACTAAATTTCAAGAGGTTTGCAAAATTTGTCTTACAAATCTCACATGTGAGCGAATTGTTCTGCATAAATTAATTTTTTTTCTTTTTTGAATTCAGGGTTAGATTATGTCTATAGTCACTAAATTAGTTAGTTTTTTTAAATCAGAGTGTTTTCGCGATTAAAAATAAATTAAGTGTGAAAGATGAATAAAAGAACTTTTCAAGTGATCGAAAATTTTCCTTTTGCAAAACATTCTTATCCGTTTGATTTGTCGGTATAAATCACAGTTTAAATCTTTTTATTAAAGTGTTATCTCACAATTAAAACTTACGAATTAAACTTTAATCAGTTGTCATTGGTCAAGTCTTAGCTTCGTCCATTGAGCTGAAAAAAAAAAAGGAAAGGAAAAAAAAAACATTTGATTGCGTGCTGCAAGTATTTAGTAGTAATCTCTGGTATATAACTCAAAAGTGCAATTTTACACTTCTTATATGTAATGGATGTAATGATGTAGTAATATAAGTGAGATTTGAGAATGTTATGGTAGCGTATGAAAAAAATAGGGAGAATGAAGAAAATAGGCTAAGATTTGAGATGAATTAAAATTAATAGGCCAATAGTTTACATAAGTTAATAAATAGGCTAAATTACTGTTTTCGTTTATAACTTGTTTAGTTATAAACCATAACTTGACAAGTTATTATCCATAATTGTCCATAATTTGTCTGGTTATGAACCATAACTTGACAAGTTTGTCCATAATTTATCTGGTTATGAACCATAACTTGACAAGTTATGGCCTATTAATTTCTATAACTAAAAATTGGTCTATATACTTTCTTAAGTTTTTCATATTGGCCTATTTTCTACTATTTTCCAAAAAAATATCGATACCTATAATTTTAAATAAAATGTAAAAATTTAACCAAACTTAATTAATACAGATCTATATCATTCGGAATATTTATGTCAAGAGGGGAAGAATTAGGGCTGAGCCTTGCATCATTGCATGGTCTATATCAAGGGATCTTGTGTTTGGTGTTCCAAATTAATTTGTAAGATTTCATTGTTGTGTCGACTTTGATCTTGCAAGTTGTCAACATTACATGTGTCGTTTTTTGACCTTTTTTTTTTCTTTTTTTCAAGTGGATGATATCAATCAACAAATATGCTTAAACAAATAAAAGTAAAAACTTTTTCAGCCGTCATTAAAGTGCTTCAAACATCATGAATGCTTCTCAAATAGCACGCACATGTGGAATATTATCATGTCTTACCTGCCAAATATAGTGTTAGGCAAATTGATTGAAACAAGACATTTTGGAATATAATCTCTCATTAAGTAATTTAATAGTCTGGATTTTATTAGGGTAATCGGAAATGATTATAACTTATAAATGGGATATACAAGTATATTAGTAAAGTTTTTAAAAATGGGTGCCTAAGATTGATTTTTTCCATAAAAAAAAATATTATGGAAATTTGTAATTTTGGAAAAAAATCTCAATTTGAGTAAAAAATAAAATTTCAATAAATATGTTTGCTTTTGCTAAACAAAGTTTCAAAGACACTAACTAATTAGCAAGATCATCTGAATTTAAATAATTAAAACATATAAAAATTTAGACGTGAAATTTTTTAGTGTCTAATTTCTAGAATTAAAATTACCATATTAAAGGCATTCAAATAGGGTTACTTTGTTGTTTCTCTTCTTCTTTTTTTCCCCCTCTTTCCTTTCTCTTTTCTATTTGGTGATATGGGGGTATCACCAAAACACACTCCAACTTGCTTTTTCAATAATTTTGAATTATATAATTTTTTTGGCTGAAATTTATTGTAAAATGATTATAGTGTGTTAAAAACGCCAAACTCGTTACATTAAACTATAACAAAATTGCAAAGAATGATTACGTAAGTAGTGACCAATATGCATGTCACGTTCAAATTCAAAACAAAACAAAAAAAACTCAGCAATAATTGAATCAGAAAAGGCTAAAAAAAGAAGAATAATCAACATTTATTGCGAATATAAGTACTACTTAGTTTATAAGTTATTTGGATCATAGATTCTTTATATTTGAGATCGCAGGCTGATACTAGTAATGCTATAATTTGTCTTTGAAATTTCATATATTGAAGTCCATGATATAATATATGAAATATCTTTTTCTACTAGAATAAAAATAAATAAATAACAGTGCGTTCTACCCAGATACAGTCTCACATTAAGGTGCCGTTTGATAACTTGCTTCAATTGTTTTGAACCAAAAAAATCTGTTTAAAATAATGTTTGATAAGGAATTTCGTACACCAATCCCTACCCTCTTTATATATATATATATATGAATTTAGAAGACGAAATTCGTACTCTAAATCTTATTATTAAGGATAGGAGGTAGGTATGTTTACCAAGCTGAATGCATATCTAGAAGAATATAGTAGTAAATTAGGTTGTTATTAGTTTTGTTTTTATGTAAAATGTTGATATAATAAGTTTGGTTTATTAATAATGATGTGAAATGTCACGTCTCTGAAGTTATTCAACTCAAATAAGTACGTAAGGACCCCAATGACTTTTACACTCATCGAAATCATGAACACATAGTTTATAGTTGTCCATTCTCAACCATTTGATCCATATTTAATTGTGGAATTAATATTAAATAACTGCTGATGTAGGCTTGTCATTTGTTTTCTCAAGTAATCATATTTCGAACCTTTTTCAAGTTACCCTTCCAATAAATTTTATGTTATTTTGTACCTAAACCAACATATAGGGGTGGCAATTTAGGCCATGATACGAAACACGACTCAAAATTCGTACGA